AAAAAAAAAAAAAAAAAAAAAAAAAAAAGAATTACCGACCATATTTAACACAAATATCCGCCAAAGTGGGAATAGATAAAAATGTAAACAAACATTCAGTTGGGCTCGTCTTGGCCGATATATGACGTCAAATCTTGACTTGACACAATCTTCCTACAAATACAGCTAAAGCATTTGTTTACAACGATAGATTTGAATAAAATTTAAGCCACACAATTATGGCTTTTAAACACATTAGGCAGGCTCTGGAATTTCCCGCACACTCTCTAGTTTGTAAATTAAAGTGATAGTTACGATGTTGCCAAGGAAAAATGTCACCGCGACGTGTTAGTTTGGCGAACATAAACCCGGTCAAATCAAACATTTCAAAATGAAATATTATATGGGTATGAAACTTTAATGCCCAATTAATATACCCTCTGATTGGAAGTATTAGATATTTACTTCTGCAGATAATATTGACATTTTTCGGTCAAATTTTTATTGTTTCACAAAACGAACGCGACGTAACGTAATGGCGCATGAAAATTAAAACGACGTAAAATCCCTACGCCGTGACAGTATGTGTCCTACTGATCTATGGAAATATCTGTGCCCTTCTCCACACTGTCATCCGAGTGTTCCCAGTTGAGTTCCATGTAGGGGTTTTCCGGCAGAGGGTTATTTGGAAGTTCGTAATCTGTATGAAGATTTTAAAAAAGGGAAATACAGTTGATGGGGATAACCATTAATAGGCCCATTATCTTAAACTTAGGCCTACTTGTTTTATCAACTGGTGAAATAAATAAAAATAAAAACTGAAGCATGCACTAGACATTTACGTAAATATGGTATATGTGTTTCAATTTTTATTCCTCATTTCCCTAACACCCATTAACTAAAAGATGGTTTAATTGTGTTTTATATACAGTCTTCTAACAGAAAACAGCCAACTGGCCAGTTAACTGGCCAGTGTCTGACTGGATTAAATAATTATTTAAAGGTCAGTTTACTAACAGACTATTAAGGTCTGGTTAGAGTTAAACACTGGTTAGTGCTAAACGTCCTTTATAAAACTGGGCCCTGGTAGTTAACTGACCTTTATAATAATTATTTAATCTAGTTAAACACTGGCCAGTTAACTAATTGGTTGTTTTCCGTCAGAAGACTGTATATGAAACACAATTTAACCATCTTTTAGTTAATGGGTGTTAGGAGAATTTATTCACTGGTTAGGCTTATCCACTGGTTAGNGTTTGAATCTACAACAGGATATCCAAAGCATAGGCCCTATACACTTCGAAAATTGTACAAGCCTCAAATCACGCCAATGAAGCTGTAGGCCTACTGTAGGCCTACATATCTGTCATCCAATATAGCCTACGCCCCTGAAATTCATTCTACATACCTCCTCTGTCTTTCTTTAGATTTAACGTCGTCATTTCTCTTTCAGGTGAACCACTTGGACGGTTGGCTTCGCATCCACGCCCCCGCCTTCTAACGAAGTTTAACATATTGTGAGTCATATAGGATATAAAATATATAAATTTATTACAAATTTACTGGTGTAGCTCTTACCGATACGTACTATCAAATGCCCTCCTATGTTAATACAAACTAATCGTTTCTATTTCTATAGGGTACAGATGAATGGATTGAAACAAGACAAATGGCATGTGGGTTTTATACTTTCGGACTTCGTTGCATCAACATGTTGATATGTAACTTTAATGAATATCCATCAGGTTACACTTAAATATATTGGAATACATGTAGCAATGTCATACTCCTGATTGAATACAGAAAAAAAACTTTTACGTGTTATACAGTACTCGATTTCCCTGAATTTCCGATCATTATATATATATATATATATATATATATATATATATATATATATATATATATGCCTACCTTATATATACCAAAACTGCGATAGCCACACCTGCCACAACCAATATGGCTGCAACAACTCCTCCAACGACGCCACCGATAGGTGGATCTAGAACATGGCCAATGGTAATCATAACATAGTTGACGTGATTGCAATGTGTGCTAACGAAGCTGACTTTGTATCAAAAATTACTGCTGATTAGTTTAATCATATTACAAATTATTTGAAATTTAGACGTATTTCATCTGTATAATTCTATCTATTCCGTCTACATTAGTATGACGGTTCTTAAAAGGAACTTACTGTTCTTTTTACTCTGTTGTGTTTCTTCGGGAATTTCAGTTGGAGGTACATTTGGCGCTAGAATTATTATGATTTCTGAAGACTAACACCTGGATAATTTGGGGACTCTGGTTTAACGAATCGTGTACAGCATGCAATGCAATAAAAATACCTTTACACGAAAACAAGAAAAACAAAATCAGTGAACTTATATTGCTTGCATTTCGCGTGTTAAAAGAAGAAATCTGCTACACATGACAGATGATATATAACAGTTGGAACGTTTTATTTTTCAATTTACGTGGTAATAAGTACTTCATACCTCTAGGGTGTGTCCACGTAACCAGCTGTGATGACTCTCCATACCCTGCCGACGTTCCGGCTTTCAAACTACACGTATACCTAGTCCCCGCTGCCAAATTGGTGAAAACATGACTTCTTGTAGGCATGGATAGATTCTGTTGTAAGTCAATATTACCATCTGCGTTGCATTCAATCTGAAACCAATATAAAAATCATGGAAACAAGAAAAATATAGGACTATAACAAAGGGTCAACATCTGTAATAACAAATATAGAGTTACCTTGTAACCAGTTATTAGCCCATTTCTTATAAACGGCTCTCCCCATGAAAGTTCTAAAGATGTTTCCGACCGGCGTGTAGTGGTGAAGTTAGTAGGTGGTCCAGGTTCTGTGTAAAAATAATAAAGATGTGTTACACCTACATCGAAATAAAACTTAAACATCAATGTCTACATTATCATAACTCTTCTTATTTTCGCTGATTATTATGGATAAGAAACTTGGCTTGTCTCAATTTATAAAGATATCTGTTAAATACGTACTTCCTTCAACTGTTATGGTTTGTATGATGTCACTATAATCTCCGAAACCAATGATGGTCTTTGCACGAATCTAAGGTGGAAATGTGAATTTTAGTCATCAGTTTTCACCAGGTTAATGTCTAAAATACGGATACATCAAAAGCAGTATTCAGTAACATTCTCATTTATGCTTCCACCGTTATATTTTTATTTGAAAACAAAATTAGATAAATACAATACCATTTTTGTCAAAATACTTCATGATTCTAATAATTGTATATTGTAGGCAACAGCTGTAGCTTTTTCAACACATGTGCATTTTTCTGAAATTATATAAATATATATATATATATATATATATATATATATATATATCAGAAAAATGCATATATGCGTTATAAACTAACCCGAAACCGGTATGTTTTATTGTATCGAAGGTTTTCGATAGATTTCTCCCGGAGACCGGGGTTAACGCTAGCTTCTTTCCAGTTTTCTCCTCCAATTGCATATCCTATATCATATTCAGTTATGATTCCTCTAGGAGGTCGTGGTGCTTCCCAATACAACTCTACGACGTCGTGGCCTCGACTTACAACGATAGGCGGTTCCATTTTTGGTGGAACTGAACAAAGAAAGAATAATTTTCTCGTACTGATATTCAACAAGATCTTCGAGGTAATAACGTAAAGCTCCTGTAACACCGGGATTTCGAGAAAAAAAAATTGATCCACTCTCGCCGGTGTGTAACAATAGGAAAAAAAGACTACAAAATTTATGATTTCAGGCAGGTTTTATAATCATCAAAATATCAAAAATGAGATTTTTCGTGCATCTTTATTACCATTTTGCTGATTTAAAACAATAAAAATCTCCTCGAAAGTATAAAGTATTGGTGTTGATATTTTTTCGCTGCTGGGCATAAGCATTAGCACCTCGGAGTGATTGTCGTCCTGCCAACACATATTAACTGGGAGTGGACTAAGCGCCCCGTATCGTCACAGGGCAATTGCACCAGTTGTTTGTATCTTCCAGCTGATACAATATACGTTCAATGCTGATAAATAAAATCACATACAATTGAATTGATGCAACGTGCGATGAGGTAGTCGACCACTAACATATTCCGATCAGATCCCCTGTGGCGCTAAACCCATATGCATATGTACCCTATATGTTATATGCTACTCACAATATCAAGCACGGCCTATCTGATGAGGCACAGTTTTGAATACCCAATATAGTTCAAACTATTATCTTGATTTTTTTACTCAAGAGGCGAGAACACAATACATGTAGGTTCTTCAAACATCTTGCCAACTGTGCATGTCAATAAGTTAACCAGTAACAGAATTATCGAACAGTGGTGTTTGGACTGGACACTATCAACGCCGTCGTACATGTATGTAGCTTTTATGATTTCGAGGACATTTGGTTCAGTTTGTAGATAGCCAGGACACCTACCTCCTTCCGGTGTGAGCCCGTAAAGTGTGTACACTGGACCCTCAAGATTCAGATTATTCACCGCTGATATGGTGATTGAATAATTGCTGTGGGGAAGGAGGTTTTCTATGAAAATGTCCTGACTTTGTTTAACATCCATTACTTCCACATTGATGTTGTCCCCGAACTCCCCTCTGACGGACAGTTTTAGCTTCCTGAATCCTTCACACCTGTGAACCGCTTCCGTCATTCCCTAAGACGTGTACATGTATAGTATGGTATCAAATAAGTTTCAAATTGTGGATAAGGTTAAAAACGAGCTCGAGAACACAATTCAAATCCCATTTGCAGAAAACAACATTCGAGGATAACTTTGAACGCTGTTTAAACAATGATTGTAAAACGTTGTCAACGTGTGTTGACATGCATGTATTAATCAATCTTTCATCGATTTAGTAATGAATTAGAGCATAAGATGAAGTTACATATCCATGCATATACATGTAAAACACCAGTTGCATAACTATAATGGCGCACCTGTGTTCGTATAGTAATCCGCGAAGCATTCCAATGTGCTTTCAAGGAAGCTGTTAGAACTGGTTGTGGTATGATTGCAGGAGCTAAAAGAAAACATAGCCATATGTATCTATAAGTACAGGTATGAGAGGGCGTGTGATAGGTTATGAATGTGACGTGAATTAATTGTACGTATATTAAAACAAACACACAACTGACATTGCGTAGTATCTAAATATGAATGTCGTACTGTTTCATAAAATCTAATGAAAATGAAATTCAGATATAATGATAGATTTGATGAGCATACTGCCACATGTCCGACTGTATATACTAGGACTTGGCTTCCCCTGTTGTCCTTCCTCGTCCTCTAAGGATACAGTGAAGTTATACACGGTGTACTCGAGGAGATTTTCAATGGTGGCCGACGTTATATCCGCAGATGAAGTTTTGGTACTATCAATAGCATGACCGTCTTTCCAGGCTCTGGTGGTGTAAGAGCGTACGCTTCCTACACCTTGGTTTATCCCCGGGGACCAGCTGTCCCAGGTTAAGGTGACAGAATGAACCGTTCTAGAGGTAACTGTAGGGACGTTCTCAAAATGCGGTCTTTCTGTTTGAGTGTGGTAAGAAAAGATTATATTTGCTATATCGGCATATTAAAAAAAACAAATAGATTTTTATTTTAATAGAATAAAATTGTCAAAAGTAATCTGGACTAATGAAATCTGTGTAAATGGTGACAAACATGCCTGTTTCCAAAAGTAATACAACACATAACAGAGAGAAAGGCGACTTACGTAGATGACATCCATAACCTTTCCAGTAGTTTGCGCATCCTTTAGTGCATTTGAAGCCATTTGCTATACTGCAGACAAAATCATCTATGCAGTGACACGTGTATCCACATGTTGGTCCAAATGTTCCAGAGGAACACTCTGCAATTCCATTTTAGAAAGAAAATGGCATTAAACAAATCTGAACGTTTTTGTATATTAAAAACGAAAACGTGAAAACGAAGTTATTATTAGAATTATCTTTTGGAAAACCATCAAATTTACGGTTAATTAACTGCTCTGTCCTGATACAAAAGATAATGACTAGATGATCAGTATGTCCAGTATATGCATGTATAATCTTCGTATAAACTACTCCATAGTGACAGTAAGTATACTCTACTCTTTTCGGAGCCAAATGATTAAATAATAAAAAAAAAAAAACTCAGAGAGCCCAAACCTCTACCAAGGCTGCTCAATTCTCATTATTATTACTTATGCACTAATCAACTAACACTATTTATTAACTCAACACTCATTATTTACTTTCATAAATTAATAAACTGATGAATTAGCCCAATGTCATTGGTCAATTGATTAATCCACTGATTGACACACACTGCTTAGAGTTACGATCTTATAATTGATTGAATATATGGATATATTAACGGTATTTTGTTTTTCTGTCCCAAGAGCCGTGTAATATATGAAATATATTGTATAAAGACAATACTAAAAACAGTTTACGGTTCATATATCACATAAAGTTATTTCATCTATGTTGGTGCCCTACCTATCTGACATACGTTGTCTTCATTCCTCCAACCATCCGCACAACCAGATGTACAAACAAGCGTTCGCCTGTCGCAAACTTCTGCTGTGTTCTTACAGTTGCAGCCATATCTGCATTCTGGACCAAACTTCCAATTATTGCAGTCTAAAAAATATACATTGTTTTTACTTATACTTAGTATACTTCTAAATGTGTACTAATAATTGCATAAATGAGTAATAATCACATGGGCTCCCAATTAAATATTAAAGTAACTTGAGAGAAACGCAAGTATTTATCTTTCAACATAAAATAAAGATGAAAATCCAATCTGCGACAAAAATGTATAAAAATAAGAACCTTATTACTTTTACCGAAGAAACATAACAGTTAAATTACCTTATTTTGCATCAATTAATAGAAGTTGCTAGAGTAATCTCTTACCTTGATGCTTGTACCCTTTAATCATCACCTCACAGAGGGTCAAAGGTACATACTGTACGTTGTTATTCAGACTAACCCTCACAGTCTTACCAACCACAGGTGCATGATTACAGGGCAATTCAATAGTTCTACCACGAGGAACCTTCTCCACTCGACTGGTACAATGATAAACTGTGCTGTTTGGTAATTTTGCTTCGATTTCAATATTCTCCAAACGATCACCACCTAGCAGATACCGTAAAAAATAATTGTCTTCTGCCATTCTGATAAATTTATGCAAAAAGAAAATTGTTCTGTAAAACCTTATCTAAAGTATTTTCTGTGGCATCTTATCCCCACGTTTTATGGACATCATTCAAATTCAATATGTTAACAAAATACATTAAATACTTAAGGAATTACTTTGGCCTTCCCTGTTCACCAATGTCACGGAGTAGATGGAGTACGTGTCGCCAAGGTCAATTTCCCACCATGGGTAGGGTTCATTCTGTGTATGTGAGCAACTGCCAGCATTGAAATCCGTGTTTGTATTACCATCTATAGCGTACTTGGCTGTCCAATTTACATCAAGGTGACGAATAAAACTTGACTGGCTAGCAGTCTTTCCAAAGGCAATATTATCTGAAATATCAACAGTTCAAAGTTGGTCTGTTAGACGTGTTGATTTCATTACAACTTGATGTTATCCTACAACAAATTTACATAAATCTTTTTCTGACCATACATTCATATATTGTCCTTACAACCATTCATGACTGTTGGTACAAACCGCCGAAGTTAGTCAAAGGCAAATTTCTTGATTCCTTGATATTTGGTAAAAAGTAGTTATGATGATGTCACTTAGAGGTAATTAAGACACAGCCGAGTTGATGATTATGTGACACTCTAAAGACTAATATATCTTACATGGATAAGTGTACCCGCGAACAATAACTTCGCACAGCTGCAAAGACTGAGATCCAGATTTTGAGAACTTAACAAAGCGACCTAAAGCTGGTGGATCTACCGTTTGTTCGAATAAACAGGTGTTTGGTAGTTGCATGTTCCCTTGGTGAGTTGTATCATTCCCAATAAACATGCTGATAACTGCATTTGTTTGACCTTCAAAACAAGAAAAAGAAAGTGCACCCTTATTTTGAAATAACTATCCTTTGTTCTCGACACGACCTGCAATTAATCATGATATACAGATGATAATAATGTTATAATAACAAGTAGAACATAAGCGGATCCGGGCCCTGTGTTTTCCCTTTTCAGAACCAAGAGTCCTAGGCCCATTCGTACACAGAAGGGGAATGAAACCCACAGTGAGGTCCTCGGACGCATGTTAAATTACCATACAGCATATAACACAACGTACATGCATTGCAAAATATTCCAATTACATTTAATTACATGTTATATTTTATCATATTTTTCACAGCAGGGGAGAACACACAAAGACATTCATCATCCTCCGTTAATAATACAATGGGTGTTGTTTGGAGATTGTTCAGTTTAAAAAAAAACTATTCCAAGTTGTTTAAAGGGATAATAACTCTTCGTTTCGACCAAAAATGAATTTTCCTGGAGTAAACAGCAATTTTCCCATACTTACCAATGGTTAATGAATCCATTTTTACATTCAAAGTAAGTCCCTGGTTTTTTTCTAAAAAATTTGGTTTTTTGTTAAAACCTCTTAAGAGATTTTAACAGAGTATACATGTAGCTATCAATGGAGGTCACGTGGTCTAAAAGACAAGCTCAGATATCAAAATAATAGCTATAACTGCCGTTTTTGTGGTAAAACAGAATATATTATATTTCTATGAGTTATTCACAATGTTTTTATTGTGAAATATATATCTCATACGAAGAGTTATTATCCCTTTAAGTGATAATATTCTGAGGACATAGATTGTACTTCAGTCCCACACAGCTAAATATTTTTTCAACCACATGTGCACCATATATAATGCTGGATACTTTTATTAAGCTTTGGATATACTTATATCTTGAGCAATGAACATTTTTCGCAATAAGAGTTGACATTGTACAATGTGTTTACATTGCAAATCAAACAATGATCATGACTGATGGCTAAACATAAATGTTCTCATACATACAGGTGTTTGGCCTGATAACCGCCACACTGCGAATGACATAGAGACCTCCCAGATCCACCTGCCACCACGGGTTATTTTCTTGGTTTGTTCTTGCACAATAAGGGGCATCAGTGCTGTTGTTTCCGTCTACCGCTAATGTTGATAGGTAGTTATGACCTGCATTTGCGTGTGTACTTGACTGTACTGTAGACTTATCAAGGGCTAGATTTTGTTTTTCTGAAGAAACGCCATTCATCTTACACTTTAATTTTGCATTTCAAATGATTAAAAAAACTTCTCGGTTTAAAAAAATGCCGGTTGATCTAATAATTATGATAAAAGAAAATACAAAAGTACAAATGTAGGTTCACATCAAAATTTCATATTTGATTGGTATGATTGGCCTAACTGGCGTTTACCTGTGGAGAACAAGATTCATATGGTTAAATCTCAATATTTTACACTTTAAAATATCTTTTAGTCATTAATAATTGAAATATGATAAACTGTTCTTTTTGCTGGGTCCCACCTACCGTCCGCACACCCTATCCCCCAGGGGTTGTCCACACAGTGACCAGGGCAGTTTGGGGACAGCGTCTTCTGACACGTTTGACCCTGTTTACAGAAACATCCAGTTGTTGTATCACATGCCCAGCCG